CCCCCCCCCCCACCTCCCCTGCCATTTGTCTCTGGATCTATTTTTGTTCATCAAATTATGCTGATCATTATACCCCGAATAGGAGTGAGATCATGTGATACTTATCTTTCTCCGACTGGCTTATTTCGCTCAGCGCAATGCTCTCCAGTTCCTCCACGGACACTTCTTGAGCCGCTGGAAGCCACTTCTCCTCTGGAGATCTTGAATTCTTCCTCTTTCTGAAAATAAACTTCCTAAATCTTCGTTCCGCAGCCTTAGCATTTGAAATAAGTGTGAGCTGTGATCTACTCGCTCCTGCCTGGAATCCCCTGGGTAGGGAAGCCACACCAGTGCAAAGACCCAGGGCGATAACTATGGAATGAGGACTTCTTGCAGGCAGGGCTGGGCTCGGGCGCCTAGTCAGCCTTTGCTTTATCTCCTTGCATTCTCTCCGCAGACTAGCGATAGGCGTCTCTGACTACCCTGCTCCCCTTTGACAAAGGGGCGCATCCTCGCCAGAGGTGCAACACCTGGCCGCCAGGTCACACACAGTATTTAGGATCGCTGGGCTGAGATGAGAAATCCAGGTGTGGTGGGCCCCACACCGCCTCCTAGCGGTCACCTCCGCTGATGCGCGTCCAGGTGGTGAAGCGGGAAGGGGCTGGGTTGGCAGGCTTCCCAACGCGGCTTCTGGGGTGTGCATGTGTGTGTGTGTGTAATTATATAATATATGCATGACCTCCTATATGTGTGTGTGCATGTGTGTGTGTGTAATTATATAATATATGCATAACCTCCTATATGTGTGTGTAATTATAATATATGCATAACCTTCTATGTGTGTGTGCGTGTAATTATAATATATACATAAACTCCTGTGTGTGTGTACATGTGTGTGTGTAATTATAATATATGCATGACCTCCTGTGTGTAATTATATTATAATATATGCATAACCTCCTCCTTCATTGAGATCGCCGGTGCAAACCAGGTTGTCCACTTTTCGGACACGTCCCAAGAGCCCCTGGCGTCCAGGCTGGGACTCACTCTCCCGCAGGTTCCCTCCGCGCACAGGTGGTTGAAACTCCCCTCGTGAGAGAGGCTGGGATCCCCACGCTGTGACCCCGAAGAAAGGGGACGTCACCCACTCGGCTCACCCCTTGCTAGTGGGGCGCGTTTACATCTAAGTGAACAACAACAAAAATCAACAAGTTGTGTGGCTGGAAGTTGCCCGGAAAGAGGGGGATGGGGCTAGGGGGGCAGAACGGCGCGCCCCGCACAGCCAGGCCGGGCAGCAGCAGCGATGTGCCGGG